TCATTCTAAATAATCTGGCCAATAAAAACAGAGCACCATATGATCTGATCAAAAGCGCGCAGAAAATAAAGGGTTATTAGATGCTCAATTAACAACTAAATATTCCAAACATTCCGACAGCGGTCAATCGCTACCCAAAAGCAAAATTCAATATACCTCAAATTCTGAGGTAATTTCGCTTGACTGGCAAAACTCATCCGACCGGTAGAAAAGTATCTGTGACCCGAGTTGGCACAAGCCACGCTTGACCAAAGGAAAGCAAATGAACAGCATAAAGTCACCAATACCATCCACTTCAACCGCGTCAGTGGCCGACGCAAGGGAGCTAATACCAAGAACAAAACAGTCAAACTTCCCCAAAATCATTTTTGGAGGCAGCTCGACATCAAAAACTACTGTAGTAGAAATAAAGAGTCCGAGAATAGATACACCGAAGACGGGAAAAGCCAGGTCGACTATAGTCACACAAGCAGCGAACAACATAGAAGATGAAAACAAAACAGCCAGGTCGACTTCAGCCTAGCAAACAGAAAACAACACGGAAACTGACAATCCACTAGAAAAAGAAATATGGGTCAGCCGCGTGGACCCCAGCGTAGGTTTACAAGAAGAAACAACACCCAACGTGGAGCCCCCAACGATGACATTCTCGTCACAGTTAGAGGCCAGCCACAACGAAATAATGGACGAAATAGTAGCAACAGTGGTGAAAGCCGTAGAAACGGAAGAGGACACGCCGCTATTCCGTCGAAAACTCCAAAGAGTACTGGGGGTTTTTTTCATCGCCGCAGCCACAAAGAGGGACCGAAATCTGCGTCCACTGATCAATTTCGTGAAAAAAGGGATTGGGAAGCTATCAAAGCTTCCTTTGGACAGTATTGGTTTAACCTTCGGAACAGGCTACATGTCCTAGAGGATTGTTTACTCATAGACGAGAGAGTCGTCATTCCTACCAAACTGCGGCAGACAGTACTTGACAGTCTTCACTTGACACACCCGGGATCAGCGGTGTGTTGGGTTTGAGTCACCATGTCTGGTTCTCGCATATTCATCGATCAATTGTGCAAATGGCACAAAACTGCAAACACTGCACAGAGCAAGCTAAAAATTTAAAACCCATCTTAGGAAAGAAGATTTCATTCCAAATGGAACCAGTAGTCGAACCTATTGAGGAAGTTCAATTAGATTTCGCAGTGCCCCTTCCGGATGAATTAAATAGAGATGCATACTTTCTAGTTGCAATAGATAAGTGGTCAAAGTTCCCATCAACAAAAATTGTATCAAATACAACAGCAAATATTGCAATCAAGTTCATGCAAAGATACATCTCTAACAACAGGGTGCCAAGAAGATTAAATTGCTATCAAGCGCAAACATTCAGAGCTAAAATTTTCAAATTTTTTGTCGGACATACAATATAAAATTAATATTCGCACCAGCAGATGATCACAGAGCTATAGGAGTGGTTAAAAGAATGATTCAGACAATTAAACGTAGGTTGGCTGTAATGAAAATAGACCAGTCAAATACACCATAAAAGTTAGCTTCAGATGTCGCAGAAATAATAAAAACATTAAGAATCACATCACACGATGTCACAAAAATTTCACATTCTGACGCGCATATGGGCAGAAAACCAAATACCCCCACTTTCGAATATAGGCACAAATAGCTCACCAAACAATCTAATTTGGGAGAGCGCAATGTATGCATGTTTAAATCGAAAGAACGTTACGAAGCCACCTATACCAGCGGAACTTATGCATGACCTTCAGCGCTGATCGAAGGACGAAGTACAGATACAAAAGAAAGGATCACCACCTAAAGCCACACATAAATCACTAGCAAGGACGCTCACCAACACGCAATCACCGACCCAGCCAGAAACAGGTGCACAAACAAAACCCATAGAACTAGCTAAAAAATAATAACTTAAGATACAAGGGAGTACAAAGAACAATAGACAAAACGAAAAAAAACAAGTGGCACGGAAAACTATTCGATTAGCAACAAAAGTCAAGAACCCAGAAACGTTTGAACAAAAATATAAGACCATAAATGGAAAAATCCTAACCTACACACCACACACTGCTTGAGTACAAATTTTTGGAAAACAACCGAGGTTACTAAGAAACAGCGGAACAGGATTTGTCCCTAACCCTTTAATATACGGACCATGCAGAATTTCTCGACTAAGCGATTATGTTGCTTATAAATCCGCACGGAGAATCGGGCCATGCCTACATTTTTTAGACATAGAAAGTCCAAAGACTCCACAACATCCAATGTTCAAGGAGGACACTAGAACTGGGCTACCGATCAAACTAACAGAACAGGAGAAGGCAGCACAGAGCAGAAGCCGAAGCAGCCCCACATAAAGAAAGGCAAACAACAAAGCGACAGGAAACAGGACTGGAGAAAAACCAGTAATAAAACTACAGACGCCACGAGGGATGAGCCTCCAAACTAAGATCGAACAGGAAAAGAACAAAAAGCCCAGAAAAGGATAATGATTCGTCGTCAAGATCGGAGGAGCTCATCTCACAGACACCAAAACGACAAAACCAAAAGCACACACCACCTGCAACCGCAACAAGAATGATCGACTAGAAACAGACAGGCGACACTAGCAATATCACAAGGTAACCCCATCCCAATCAGCACAATACAGATCGCGAGTGCAACCGGGAAAAAGCAATTTGAAATCGATTCGCCACCAAAAAAATCAACGCAAGACTTCCCAAGGAGATTGATCCAGGAGATTGGTTTTTTTGAAAAAAAAAATACAAGGCTTGTGTACAATTTATAGAGGCTATTAGCCCAAAACACAAACCGACCACCACAAATAACAGAATCGACCTAACATCCCCAACAGAAGCAGAAGACGAAACGATGGAAAACAACGTATTATTCGTAAACACGAAGGACACAGAAGTGAAAAAACGAGAAGACAAATATCCACAAAACAACGAAGAGCACGTTAAAATGCACGAAAACATCGACAACAATACCGTGGAAACCGGAGAATAAAAATGAAGAGACAGGACAAACAGTCCTCCCAAGGGAACTAAAAACTCAAACAGTAAAACTCTACGAAATTTTCCCGAGGAGGGGGAATGTCATCCGGCATGGATAGATAAAACTCCGCATAAAACTTATTATGTAAGTTTTGATATTATGTAACGTTAATGTGTACTGGTCGATTGACCCTGATACCGAGGACGAGGACGGCGGTTAGAGTGAACTACGGTTCAGAAAGAGAATTAACGTTAACATTAAATAGTTGTCTTTAACTTCGCTCTCTCAAGAGCCCGACATTATCTATCCATACGGATTTAGGAATTAGCAAATCATACCTTGAGGACTTAGCGGTATGACACTGATCATAAATCAACGAGGAAAACTGAAAAAGCATGCAGCTGATACAATTCAAATTTAAGTTACAAATACAAAAAGAGTTTAAAAAAATGATAGCCTGCAAACATTTGCAACGAAGATAGATAGAAACAAACTCACAACTAACAAGGTTGAAATCAAATTATTGGCCTACGCAGCAGCTCCATTTGGAGTGAGAACAAGGCCAGCGGCAGCGGTACACCCGATTCAATACTTTTGAGAGTTAAAGGTTTTACTTGGTTTTATAGATCATAAACTAAACATCAAAACCCATTATAAAGCAAACACATTAAAATAAAAAATAAATGTAAAACGAAATGCTCATTAATTTAAGAATGATGACTCGCATTTTGAAAAAATCATGTAGAATGGGTCGTACAATGTGTAATTGTATTATAGAGAACAAGTTGCAAGAGTGTTTTTTTTTCTGGACTATTTAGAATTTTTGTCATTTAACGGTTCTGTTCAAAATCGAAGCTATCGGAATATTTAAAATTAGAAACTAATTGAAGAAATTACTGTTTGTATAGGTCTATTTCAGGTACCAAAGCGCCGCATTTTGCTAAAAACTGTTTTTAAACACCAAAAATGGGGCATCTAGAGCCCTCTAAGATATGCTATGAGTTTCATATTAAAGCTTGCTAAGTGCCTAGAGAAAACTAGTGACGTAATTTTATCACAAGGGGATGGGAATTGTTGGTTTGTTCATTATGACATGAATTTGCGTCAAATTCTTTGTCATAACCAAAACAAATGGAAGGATTAAACTTTTGCTTTGGTATGACAAAAATTGTTTTGTTCATGATTTTTGGTTCCGACTTCCAGGAACAAAAGTAGCAGATTATTTGTGCTCGTGGTGTTTTTTTCTTCAGACAAATTTCGACTTTTTAATTTACTATAATTGACATTTTTTTCTAATAACTTTCAAAAACAAATTAGTGTCCTGGGCTTAAACTTAAACATTCATATATTTCACCTGTGATCTTTTTTTGTAAAGTTATGGGGATTGAAATAATATCATTTTGGCTAATTTGGGACAATTCAGGCCCGATATATCTTGCGCTATTAACGCATAAGAGGAGATTTAATTTGTCTTTAAAATGGTTCAAAATTGGTTGAAGCAAGTTTATTAGCCATAACTTATTTGTTACTAGTGTTTTCTACTTTATATGGTGTGCGGGGGATAGTTTCACAAAAAAATCTTAATTTGAAAAAAAAAAACTTTTTTTATTTTTTTTTTCATGTTATTTCTGCTCGGTAGAGCTTAAGAGGCGGTGAAAATATTTAGGACTTCGAAATTGATCGAAGCAAAAAACAGGCATTCAGAGAACCGGTTCTCAAATAATTTACCACAAGTTTTCTACTTCATGATCAAGCAAAAAATCATTTCCACCGGTCTTCAAATGGTTTTTTGTTCCAATGTTGGTCACAATGATTGAGTTTCAGAAACGTAAGGACGAGAGTTTCAAAATAAGGTAACCAAATATTTCCCTTTTGATACAAGTTTTGTATGAAAAGGGAAAAATTCGGTTACTTTTGTCAGAAATCTTCTTCCGTTCAAAATTATATGCTTCTGAAATCAATCATTGTCAAATACGGAATTTCAAACGCACGCTGTGTGAAAAGTATTTTGTATAAAATAAGACTTTTAATTTATTCCATCAAAATATTTCAATAGAAGTTTTGAGAATAGCAAAAAATGGCGACTGAAGAGTCTATGGTAGTGACAGCAAGACAACAGGAGCTAATTATTGAGGACTTGCAAACTTTGACGTCAAATTACAACGAATTCCTTGAAGATGTTTTGGAACAGTGAGTATTAAATGAAAAAAAAGTTACAAAAATTTACAAATCAATTTCTTATATACGTATTTTTTTGCAAAACAAAAGAAATGAGAGACAAAAAACAAGTCAATCGAAATGTATTTTTTGAAAATTTGGTTCACTTTTAAAACTCCGGAGAAAAAATCTTGGTTTGATTTCATCATTAATCCGTGACATGAACTTTCCAACTTTCAAAGAAAGTACCGGGACAGTAAAGCTCTAGGTTATTTTTCTTAAAACTAATTGTGTTTTTTATATTATCTTTTTTTTGGTTGAACTTTAGGAATCAACAAAAAAATTGGTACCTTGAAGTCAAAAAACTTTTTGCCAGTGGCAACTAATTGTAATGGTATGGCTATTTGAAATTTTTCAAGTTTTTCCATTAGCTATAAGTAATCCGCGATTTGATTTCCTGTTTTCCGTTAATGCTTCATCAAAGCGGTTCCAAAGGGAGATGAATCAAAGTATTTACTTCGTATAAGGCAGTATTAGAAGAATTCAATTGTATATTTTTGCATCTGTCATTTGGCCTTCCGTGTAGGAAAAATAAAAATGTGCAAGATTGCTTAGCTCTTTTCCAGTTTCCCCCCCCCCCCCCTCTTTCAAATTCAACTTTGAAAAGCTTATTTAACTTTGTCATAATGCAATGAAATTTGGCGTGGTGAACAAATCAACAACTGTGAACAGATTTGTTCTTCATACTTTACAGCGTAACATCACGCATTTAGCCGTAATAACACGTAAAACAAACATAAAACTCGGTATTTTGCAAGGTGGGGGGACTGGAAAAGAGCCGATTGCTTGTATCAGGGCGAAGCTCTGAATATTTCGACTGCCTTTTAAGGTCTATCGAGCATTAATAACCTGAAAAAAGTATATGTAATAAAACATGATCTTTTTTAATTTGATCTTCTTTGTGAAAACTATCATCCGACACGCCATATAAAGTTCGAAGTGACAGATTTCACTCATTATGGCAAATGAGCTTGCTTCAACCAATTTGGAACGATTTTTAAGATGGATTGAATCCCAGCTTACGCGAAATATATCTCGCGTTAATAATCCCAAATTGGCCAGAATGGCAATCTTTACACCCCCATAACTTTACGAAAAACAATCACAGATGAAATATCTTTTTAAATTTGAGTTCAAGACAAAAATTTTTGTCAGATGATAAAAAAGCTCCATCGAAAATAGCTAATTAAAAAGTCGATATTTGTCTGAAGAAAAAAACCACCCCGAGCACGAATATTCCGTTGTTTTTGTTATCAAAAGTCGGAAGAGCAAGACTGGCCGTATCAATGCGAAGTGCTGAAAGTTCCGACTGCGTTTTACGCTCTATGAAGTAGTGTTCACTCGAAAAATTGATGAATAATATTGATCAAAAAATATGTATCAAAAATATCTTTGAGAATTTTAAAAAGTGTTTGAGATTTTGTATCATCCCACCATATGAAATTCAAAGTGGTTAATTTAGCTCCTAGTAACCTGGCAGTATGACAAATAGCCTGCTTCAATCAATTTGGAACGAGTTCTAAGACGGATTAAATCGCCGCTTACGCGTTTACAGCCCGAAATAAATCACAATTTAATTGTCCAATTTTGGCCAAAATCGGAATGTTTAAGATCCCATAATGTTAAGAAAAATGATTGCAGGAGAAATATCCTTTTAAATTTGAGCTCAAGGCAATAATATCTTTCAGCTGATGTAACAAAAATTCCGTCTAAAATGGCTAATTAAAAAGTCGAAATTTGTCTGAAGAAAAAAAAACCACCCGAGCACAAAGATTCGGTCATTTGTTTCGAAAGACGGAACAATGATAAAAATAAAAACTCAGTTGCTTAAGTTTTTTCCTTTTTTTCAATAACTTTTTTCACCAACAGTTTCACCTGCTTTGAAATTCATGGATAGTTGGAACATTCATCATTTTGCCCCAATTCAACGGGATTTTGTTGTGTTTAGGTTCATGAACGAAAACGATGAAGTTCCCAAAATATTTTCATGGGCCGACAGCAACAAAAACGGAACGGAGCAGCGAAGTCACCCGCGGTTCAAGAATCACGCAAAGGCCATTGGAGTAGCCTTGAGAGACTGTTTGGGAGACTTGAACGCAATTAAGAAACACGAGGAGAGGTTGAATTTTTTGGGGGCTACTCATAACAAGAAAAAAGTGCAGTATCATTTTTATGAGGTCAGTTTTCTTTATAATTTTAGGTTTTTGTGCTGAAATTTAAAGAATCTGCCTGCCTTTTTGTAATTTTTGTTTTTTCAAACAATCGTAAACGTTTAGATTGTTTATTTTCAAAATTAAACTAGACCCAATTTATCACCTTTATGAGGTCATTTAAAAAATATATTTTAGGTGTTTAATGCTGAAATGTGAGAAAAGTGTGTTTTTTTTTCACGATTTTATGTTTTTATGCTGAAATGTGGTTCAAAAATGAGCAATTTTAGTTAATTAATTTCCATTAAAACTGGTTGACCTAAAAGAATATTGCCAACAACTTGGCATTAACCAGATCAACAGTAGAGTTCGCGCAGGTATGGAGGTTCCATTCCTTTTTCATTACCGAGTTTTACTTGAATAACTTTTAATTCACAATGTACAGGACACAAGAAGCATTAAAAACGAATGATTAGGCTATTCTATGCAAACTTCGTTTTCATAATCTTGTATCAAAAACCTCGATATATCAAAACCTCAATATATCATATATCATTGAATCTATAGGCAATTTATTTAGAAAAAAATATTTGATGGCTTTTTGGTAAATCATTGTGATCTACTCATATTTACAAAAGCGGCCACTGAGTTCAAGTACTAGAAGTTTAGAGAACCTACCTGCCAGGAAAAGACCAAAACTATGGTCCGACCTTTTTTCGTCCGTTTACAAAAAATTTATCCTCCAAGAAGACAAATTGTTCATATATGTATCTTTCTTGCCTTTATGAGCTGAAAATATTGATTCAATCTAAAACAACAACAAAAACAATCACAATGAGCCTTAAATTACCAATCTCTGCATAGAGAACCAAATAGTGACTGCCAATCATTTCTTATGTTTCAGAAGCTGGGTGGTTGCATTGTGAATCAAGTTCAGAAACGGATAAGCGACAAATGGGACGAAGAGAGAAAACAAGCATGGGAGAAGGCGTATGAAATCATCACCTTCTTTATGATTGTGCGGTTCTGGATGGGAAACTTTGGATCATAGTTGGATTGAAAAAGAAACCTGATTATCCAGAAATTGGTAGATTGGTCCCAAACTAACTGAAAAAACCAGCTGTCAACAATTTTAAATAAAATCAGCAAAATTTCCATGAAAAGCTTGTTAAAAAGTTACCTCATGTTAACCTATATTAGCCATCAATATTCACATTAAATAAGTTTTCAGCAGCAAACTCTCATCGCAGATACTGTTAAATTTGAAAAGCTGCTCAAGTTCATTAATTATTTTTTATTTGATCACAACTATGCACTTGGGGTAAGTTGACATAAAATAAAAATAAAAGAAGTGTAAAGATCGTGCTTTATTGAAAAAATTATTTATTCTGTAATTTATTAGTGCTCCTTATAGTTAGTTATAAATGTTATTCCAAACTATTCAATGATGCAACTGAGACTAGTTATGATATGGCTCTTGGAAACAAGTTATTGACTGGAGTCTTTTCATTTCACAGATTCCAATAATCAGCTAATTTTTCAGAAAAAATGGCAGATAATTTCCGGTTTTTTAGTGTCCAGCAAAAATTGATTTTTAAACTAAAAAATTCTGACAAAATTTGGTTATTGTATGGCACACATTTAAGTCATGAGCTCAATATTCCTTTAGTTTTTAACCGTTCGTTTTTTCGATTTTTTTTCATTTTGGTATCATTATTGCACGTGAACCTATCAGATGTCTGATAAAGTGTATATCGTACTGGTGAACTAATTTAGTTCAAAGAAATTTTAGATGAAACGGTGCATGCTAATGAACCCAACTTTTGCGTTACCTGGCAGTAAATTATCCTTTTGAACTTGTCGTTGCCTGCATGTGTCCAAAAAACTAAGAAAAATGTTAGTTTAAAAAAAGTTTTCTATTTTTCTGATCAACAAAAAATTTGTTATGGCTTGCTTTGCCTTACTAAAAATGTGTTCATATTAGATTTTATGTATTCAATTTTTTTGCTATAAGTATTTCTAGCTACTCATCGGTATAAATATCCTACTGATTGCAGAATTACTTTTTGAGAAAAAAAACCTTAATATTGCTCTTTATTGATCTATATTAAAAGCATTAAGAATGTTCAGAAAATATAACCTTTGAACTGAATTTTTTTCCTTAAATGAGACTTTAATTTCAGTAACGTGTTTTAATAGTTCCTTCATGTTCAGTTTGAAAAGTTTTCTGTCAAAATTTTAACTAAGATCTGCAAGTTTTTGTGCTTTTTGCCAAGTCAATTTCTGAGAAATCAAAACGTCCAGAATTCCCGCATCGAAGTTTAGTCGTAAGTAATCGATTATAATGGATTATTATGATGATATTTTCACAATTATAATTGATTATAATTACCAAAATTAGGTCCTTAAAGGGTTTATAATCGATTATAATCGTTATATTTTCCAAGAGATTATAATCTATTATAATCAATTATAATTGATTCTAGTTCCAATAGAAAATCTCTTATAATCGATTATAATTGTGATAATTTCCAAGAGATTATAATCTCTTATAATCCATTATAATTGATTCTAGTTCCAACAGAAAATCTCTTATAATCGATTATAATTGTGATAATTTCCAAGAGATTATAATCTCTTATAATCCATTATAATTGATTATAGTTCCAACAGAAAACCTCTTATAGGGCGTTATAATTCCTAATTTTTTCAAAAAAAAGTTGGTGAAAAAATTAATTATAAGAAAATTAATAAACAAAGAAAATAATGATAGAATATTCAATATGAACAAAATTAAAACGAGTTGAAGGATTTTGTGAATATTGTGGATTATTCTTGGAGGGGTGCCCTGGATGTAGAATAATTTAATACAGATTTCAAGAGATTATAATCGATTAACAATTGATTATAATAGATTTTTTTGAATTTTCACTAAGACAGCTACTAAAATCATACTATAATCGATTGTTATCTCTTGAAACTGGGTGCGGGTTGTCATGTATTGGTTTTGGGTTCAGCGGAGATTGTAAGACAAAAGCAATGCCCAGAAGAAAGTGAGCATCTATCAGCTTTGTTAAAAGAGATTTCGATGTGCCATTGGTTTACTTATGCTCAAGTAAGGCCAAGTAATCATTTATGTAGTCTTTATGCACACCAGGCAATTGACAATGCAGAAAGTTTCTCGATAGTTTTGTGACCGCTTTTTATGTGCTAAATCATGAAAAGATTATGCAATTAAAATAGTAAAACTGTTAGATTTTCTAGCTTCAGAAGCCTCACCCAAAGTCCAATTAGTCAAGCTTAAGATAACAATAAGTATTTTCTTAAGCTTGACTAATCGTGCACTTAGATTGATAGCCGGAAAAAAGTAAGGAAAATCTAATGTTTTTCTTTAAGGCTGATTGTTTGTATTCACTGAATAAAAACTTCATTTGGAAATATTGCAAGAAAAGCAACAGCACCTGTATATTTTTGAAAAAAAAAGAAGAACAATAAGAGTGTAGTCATGTGTTTGAGTCATGTTTTTGTTCTTCGTTAAGTTTTTTAGTGTAGACAATGTTTTACAAAGACTGACGAAGATTTTAAAATGCCTTTAAAAACAATTTTTGGTGGCATCCCTCAGCCAATCAAAATTGAGTAATAAAAATCTCAAAGTAAATCGCGAAAATCTCTAAGTAAATCTAGGCCATTCGTGTTGATATTGACCAATTAGATAATAAGCAGATGAGTTTTCGAGACTGAAAATTTCTTATGAATTCGAAATATCAAGTATAGATATTTATCTGAATAATATCGCGGTTGTAACACAAAATTCGTAATTTTTTGGTTAATTTCTACTGATTTAATACATTTTCTGTTAATATTGAATTTGATTTTGTGCGAAAGGCATTTAGCTAATAGGAACGTTTAGCAATTTTGATTGGTTGAATTTTTTCGAGCATTCGGTCCCTCAAGCCTGAGAACCCTCCCCACAATTTTTAGCAACGGCTCAAAAATGCATGTGGAACATTTTTCTTACGTAACCTTAATTCCAATTTTTTGATATCTCCCTCATTGTAATATTGTGCTTTCAAATCTTCGTAGGCAATTATTGATTAAATTAATCAATCATTTATTTTTTGTTGTATTGATCTAGAAACTAATTGAGCCACTCTGATTAACAATCTATTTGAAAAAAAACATACAACAGCCATAAAATGTCTCCAGTTTCACAAAAATTAAACTTACTTTAGGTTCAACAATTTAAGATAGCACACAAAATTGTAATAAAACAATGAATACACACGCAACCATTTTGGCTTTTAAAAAAACAGTCGAAAGGCCTACAAGTTAAGATTGCTCTCAATGAATTTTTCTCAAAATATTTATGAAATATTCGTGAAATAATATATCTAAAATTTATATTCACCATATTTTAAGTAAATCAATTTGTATGTTTAATTCCGCTTAAAGTTTTACTAAAACTGTAAAAAGAAAATTCATTGTGAAAACTCAACAAGACTGCTCGTATCAGGGCGAAACTCGAGGTTTATGGAGCAGTAATAACATTAACAATTACCGCAATACCTAATATCATTAACAAATTAAGTATACGCCATATAAATTACAAAAGGATAAATTTCGCTCCTTTTAACATATCAATTATCTCAAGTAAGCTTCTTTCAACCAATTTGGAACAATTTCTAGACGGATTAAATTTCCGCTTATACCTTAAAAGCGCGAAGTATATCGCGCGTTAATTGTTCCGAAATGGCAATCTTTAAACCACCAGATGGCAACCTTAAAGATGGCAATCTTTAAACCACCAGAGGGCCGAAATGGCAATCTTTAAACCACCATAACTTTACAAAAATTGATCACAGGTGAAATATCTTTTCAATTTTAAGCTCAGAACAACAATACCTTTTTAATGATATAAAAAACTCCGTCAGAAATGGCTAATTGAAAAATCGAAATTTGTCTGAAGAAAAAACCCACCCCGAGCACAAATACTCCGTTACTTTTGTATCGAATGTCGGAACAACAAGTTATTAATACAGTAAATGCAGTTAAATTAACTCATACAGAATTAAAACGCAGGAAAAATAACAGATCAATTGATGGATAACCGTTTTTGCAAACAATTTCAATGATTGAAACTCTTTTTCTTCTAATTGGAAGGTCAACAATCCCAAGTGTTTTTGAAACACCCAATTCATTGAAACACCGTATTTTTAGGTATAACTGAACGAGCCCTAGCTAAGACAATAGCTTTTTGGTTTTATCGAATGATCGTCTCGTTTTTACATGCAAATCAAAAAGGTGCGTTCAACGGTGCCGAAGTAAAACAGTGTCGAAACTGAAAAAGTGTCCAACAGTGCCAAAAAAATAATGATTTTTGACTTTGTTGGACGTTATTTAGATTCTGTTGTGTTTCGGCACTGTTGTACTTTCGCACTGTTGTACTGCCTCAAATCAAAGTATTTACACTTTTAATGACCGAACATTTTGCTCAAGGTATTTAAAAAAGAAAGCTACTTTGGAAGAACACAAACCTCTACAATTGCTTTTTGCTCGTGTATTAACCAATAGCCAGTTAAGTGAACAGCCATTTGTTCAGTATAAATTGGTTTTTTTTCTACAACTAAAATTAACACTTGCAGCAGGCCAAAATCGGCGTGATTAAGTTTAAAATACGTAGTTGTTGTTTTGAGAACACAGATTTTAAAAATTGCTGAGATTTTTTGAAAAATTGTCCAAGCTTTCCACATTTTTTCAAGCATTTGTTTCAAAATTAAACTTTGCTCCCACTACCTCAGAAAACGAATGTATTTTTTCTGGATTTCTTCTTCAATTAATGAAAAATTCAGTATGTTTGCACGTACCGTCCATGTGAACAATCTCCCCCCAAAAATTAAATCGCAAATTCAAGCCGCAATGCCTGCATGCACTACGCTCATATCTGATTGGCTGAAAAATAATTTTTTTTAACCAAGTGAGCAATCTCCCCCTATTTTCATTCAGGGGGGATATAGTTCAATTGGTCCTTACGTTCTTATTTCTTACACAGCG